CCTCTAAGGAGACAAGCCCCAATCACAATATTGTCAAGGCTCTGTTGGTTTTCTGGTTCAAATCCTTGTTCACGCTGTTTGCTGAGTACTCATCTGCTGTGACAGCCTTCAGACAAACAGAGGCTCCTGAAAGAGGTCTTCCACAAGCAGATCCTTCCTGCTGGGCAGTGGCTGAAACGGCCCTTTCTCTCGCCATCAAGTGGAACCCAGCCTATTGAGCTGGCCCCTGGGAGCCCCACACTGAGGCAGGCCACGGGCCAGCACTTCACCCCTCGGGCCCTGGGCCACCCTCACGCTGTTCCAGGACACCTGTGCCCACGTACTGCCAGTGTGGGAACCCTCGCCGGTGAACCTTGTTACTTTAATCAGCTGGGGGCTGAAACAAGAGACCAATTTAGACATTATTTTTAATCCTGTGTTCTGGTGTACTGGTGAAACAAAAATTGGTCTCAAACTTTGTTCAAACTTTTCTAAACAATTTCAGATGATAAAAATTGCCAGACTGAACCAAGAAATGGGTTATCATTTTAAAAGTTGACCCACTTATTTACCCCTCATCCCCACCCCCAGATGAGGCACCAACTAAATCTCCATGGCACACTGCAGAAAAATGGCATCAATTAATCAGCATTCATGAACTGTTTACTTGAGCCCCCCTTTGTTTGAAGCAGGGTTTAATCCAGACAGAGGCCTGGCTGTTTGGATCCCTGCAGACAGCAGCGGTCGGACCATTGTACGCTCACATCCACTGGCACTGCACAAATTCTTATTCCCTCACACTCTCATCTGCTCATTTGTCATCGACGACGGCGCTCTCAGCTTTCCGGCGATGACAGCTATATTCTTTTTCGCACCGATGTAAAGGTGAACTTAAAGCGAGCTAAAATCATCCAAAGTAATTAGATTACATTTATGTGACAGATTACACTCAGGCGCAAGTATCCGTCTCATTTTCCAGTCGGAAGTTGTTCGTGCGTCTTTGCGGGGCCAGAAAAGGCAGGAAGTTCTCTCTCTCTACGTATTTCTCTCTCTCCCTCTCACCGAATGCCAGCTTTGCCAATTCACTCCGCCGCATGTGTGAAGACATCTGTCCACATTCCAAATCTCCCATTTTGGTGCAAATGATCCTCCTTGAAGGAAGCAATTTTTACAATGTGGCAATTCTCAGATTTCCATCAAGGCTCAGTGCCTTTGCCTTTCGCCTCACCGAAGAAGCAAGTTTAATTGGAAGGCTGCATTTAAAGTCATTCCACAATTATACAATTATACTGAAGATGCATGTCTGCATGTTGCTCAGTTTGCACCAATTTACTGCACTTTCTGCACAGTTAAGACTAGCGCTCCTTTCAGTGGATGCAAATTCCCCTCATTTGGCTCCAAATGAAGCATAATTGCTCATATTCAAGCAAACACCTTGCTATGAGAGGTTCTTCCTAGTTGGTTCATATTAAATCTGAGGAGAATGAAAAAAAAATCCCAAAATCCATTTGCGCACACGTGCCAGCTGGATCATTCTGTTTGGGGGAATGATGAGGAAATGGATGATGCAATTGAGCACATTGAACATTAAACATCCTGCTAGCACTTTTAATTCAGCAACCGCCGTCTCCAAACTTCCCTGTATGTTCCTAAATGCCAGTTAAAGAAGTAAAAACTGCTTCCATCCATCAAGTTGGTTTCATTTAGATTTCGCTTAAAACTTGAATCAAAAGCGATTGTATTTTGCCATCACGGATGACGTGGCATCCCAATTAGTTCAAGCGCAGACGTTTCCCCTTCAGTCGTAAAACGAAATGGAATTATATCACCCAGACATTCCACCATCAAAGTATACTCTAGCCTTTCCGCTCTTTTGTTTCGGATGCCACAAGTTAGAGAGGGTCTCGTCGTTCAAAAGACCCAAAGTATCTGAAGTGGCGGCCCAAGCACACCACCGACAATGGCTTACAAGAGTCTGTTTTAATTCATACCCTCTTTTTAAAAAAGGGGGACAGCACAACAAACCGTTGACCCACTGATATACAATTAAGAGTGATGCGGCAGTTAATGCTACAAGCAACTCTGTTTAACAGTCTGTCTTTGACCCACTGCCACTGAATAAATATAATGCAGAGAGCGAGAGACCGAACGAGAGAAAGGGATCCAGGGAGATTTTAAGCCACAGATAAGTAGTTAAAGACCTTTATAGAGTATAACACCATTATCCTTGCTGAATAAAAATAGGATTTAGTGTTTTTTCCACTTAATTTGAATCAAAAGAATCCCCACCTTACATATTGCACTGGTAATGTAATGGAGAGAGAATCACAAAAAGGCTTTGTGGTTCTGACACCTCCTATAGTGGGCCTATGTTGTCCCGCGAGCAAAAGGGAGAGCAGGCTTTTTCTTCATCGCCTTGCTATCTGCTAACACATTCTAATTGATGCCACTGCATTCCTGCACTGGCCGCATTCAATGAATAACGAGTTTGCGGACTCAATGCCCATGAATTAGTCCCTTCTAAGAGAAGCAGTAAAACAGCCCCCCTGCCCTAGATTTCCCCCTCTAGCCACCGAGCTCCCCTCAATCCCAGGCCAAAGCCTGCTCCAGCTTCACCGCCCATTAAAGTGCCACTATTGTGCACCGACGCAACCCACAAAAGCTGTCCGTCTCTCCGAGGCCTCTAAAGCCCGAACTCACACAGACTGGAGTGACAACCTCTGCGACTCCCCCCGGCCCCCTTCCCACCCTCGCGCTTCCCAATAAACCCCCTAATCCCACCCCTTCCACCAACGCGCACACACACACACGTGTGCGAGCAAGTTGTGCTCTCCATCTCCCTCGCTTGCCTCTGCTGTGCACAAAGCATCAATCTGTCTTTGGTGTTGGCACCCTCGGCCCTTTGTCCAATCTGCAGGTGTCTATGAAAGCAGCTACGGTTGCCCTAGACCCACGCCTCACCACGCCTCGCCCAGGACAGGAACTGCTGACAAAGACCCAGTGTGGGAATGAGGGATGCGTACAGGGAGCGAAAGTGAGGGGGCTCCCCTAAAACTGATGTCTGAGGAAGTCGTGCAACTTTTAGGAAGTCCTGTCCATGGAGAATAACAACTTGTTGGAGTGACTAGAGCTCAGTGTTACTATGGGAAGAGATAGTGATGGAATGCCAGATGTAAATGCCTCTTTTTGCTCTCATAAACACACAAAAGACTGTATAAACTATACTTTTATACAGTTATTTTAAAGTTATTTATATATATATATATATATATATATATATAATGGTTTATTTTTAATATCATTTTTAAAAAATATATTATTATTCAAAGCAAACCATTCAAAGAATATAAACCATATAAACCTTTCAAAATGGTTATTTTAAATATGGTTTACATGCTTTGAATGGTTTGCTTTAAATAATGGTTTCTTTTCATTAATATCCGTTTTTTTTAAATATATGATTTATTAATATTGTTTTCACCCCTCTATGTGCCAGGTCTTAAAATATCTAGCCTATATTAGGGTTTTATATTTAAAAAATGGCAAACTGTGTAATTTGGGTACTTTTATTTATTTTTTGTCAATTTTGTTTTTTTATTGACAAATGTAGCAAGATGTACAGTATTTTAAATGCAGTTATTAGCTGAATTAATAGGCCTGCATGAACTTACATTTAATGTAAATAAATACATAAAGAAATTAAACACAAAACAGAAACAAAAATGCAATGAAGACCATAATCAAACTCCAGTGAAACATTCCAGAACCCCAATGGTAAAAGGAAAACGTCATTGGATAGTTAATGTTTTTTTTCTTGCTGTTTAGTGACTGGGCATGTTTATGCATAAACCAAATAATAATTAATACATGCAAACTTACTCATCATCAAGCTCAACTAGCCTGTAGTTGGCTGCAACAAAAGGAACAGCTGCTCGACAGTGTCTTCAGATACCAAAGAAGACAGAAGAATTCAAGATGTTACGGAGGAGGCTCAACCGATTGGTATGTATGGCACTCTACGTGTTACTTTAAAGAAGATGTAATCGAGTGTGTCAGTAATGATCAGCCTGAGTCTGACAACAGGGCGCATGTCGACGAAACATCGCAAATGCTGCACAAGTGGAGCGTTTATTTAAAAACTATGGAGCCACCCTGCAGAAAGCTCTTGAGTTTATCACCACCAAAGCTGTAATTAGTTGAGGTATGCAGTCAACTTCCTGTTAACACTGGCCAGCTGTTGCTAAGCGAGTCGTGCCACGCACATTAACGATTCAAAAAATGTATGGGCTTTAGCAGCCGTGAAAAAATATTTTTTGTGAAGTTGACGGTTGTTTGAAACGCGTTTGAGTTGGCTAGCTAGTGTTAGGAGGACAGGCTGGGGTTGAGACACTGGCGACGCCTCTGTTGTGGTGAAGATAATCGTTTTAGGCAGCTCGTTCAGATGTGTCCTGCCAATTTTTTAAAGTTAAGCTGCATTCCTGATAGCGCTAATCAAATAATACTGCTCAGTCTTGCAAGCTAAGCCCTTTTAGTGTTGTACTTGAATCCAATAATTAATTTCCTAATGCCCTTCGTTGCTGTCGCAACCTTTTAGATGCAAACTTTATTTGGGCACAATTCTGCTCTTACCACATAATTGCAGAACATCCGGGCAGTGCTGGAGTAGCTCTTGAGATCTAATGTTGGGTTGAAGATGAAGCCTGTTTTTAGTCTTAGCTGTTTTAGGCTGTGGTGGGAATACTTGTAATCAAATTTCTCCCTGTTTGTGCTTCCAAGTATTGTTGTAATTCACCCTTACAAATGAATTCACTACGCTGTCCAAATCCTTAAAGTTCATCCCAAAATAAGCATTTGTTTCCTCACCCTCATGTCATTTGGAACCTGCATAACTGCCCTTCTTCCATGGAACACAAAAGGAGGTAGAGAATGATAACTGATTCTATCATTGTACGAAGAAAAAAAAAGGAGCAGTGAAAGTTTACATGGTAGAGAGAAATTCAATTCAGGTTTGGAACAACATGAGGGAGATTAAATCATTACACCACTGTGCCTTTAATATGGCTGTGTCAGATTGTCTTGTAATGTGTTGATTGTATGAAATGAAACCTCTCAGTTTGCTTAATATTATATTATTCTTACCATTTGTTATTTCTGGGTCAGTGTGAGCAAACCACATCCTCACTTGCGTAGTCTTGTACTATTTGCATAAACCAGACCTTGGTCTATTCCCCTCACAAGGTTTATGTACCTGAAATTATTAGTAGTTTGCATAAAAGGCGGCTTCCTAGATCACGATTGCAACTAATCAAGTAGCTATACACCAACCAACCTCTTGATCCAGCAAACCCTCTCTATGTCTTTAAATTCATCCCGTTTTAGGCACTTCACACAGAAGATTTTCTATGTAATCGTGCTAGACTTATGTGTTTGTTGTGTTCGTGCCATGCATCTTTTGCAGATTCTCGCAGTTGAGCATTGCTATGTCTGGTTTAATAAAAGGTTGTCCCCCTCATTCATGTCTGTAATGCAAATGCATTCAATTGTGAATGGCCACTTAAAGTCAGCATGAAATGAAAATTCACTTTATTTTCCAAATGCATGTTATGTATCTTATTGTGAAAAATTCATCTGATATTGTTTAATTAAATTTTTTTTTACATCGTAATTTTTTAATAAAAATGTCAGAACTGGATAACTGATGTATGCTGGACTTCTCCAGTCCTTTTAGTCTGCTTAAACCCGTCACTGCAAGCTAACATTCATCTGCCTTCATTCTTGACTGCATCGCCCACATCAACAACTGATGGATAGAGCCAAGCCTCCGTCCTATACAGTAGGGCTAATACTTTATCCTAATCAAATGAAAATTAAACCCTTTTATTTTTTGGCAAACAAAGTGCTGCACAACAGAGGTTTACTGTTAAAATGAAAAAGAAAACAGATGTGATTATTCCTATAAAAATAAAGATTTATTAATATTTATTAGCAGTAGTAGCATTGAGTTAACATTAAACTAAACTTTTCTTTTGACGGGTTGCCGTGAAGAACTTGCAGCTGCTGTGTATGTGATATGACGGTAGTTTTCTCAAATGAAACGTAAAATTGACACACTACTTTACAAGAACTTAAAACACGCGAGTGTCATCCGTGCTTTAGTATGTGTGTAGTAAACAAAACAGTGTGCCACGCCATCCGCCATTCATTCATTGTGGAAATCATGGCGCCTTATGCGTGATATCAAATGCTTCCGTAGATTTATAGTATTACTATAGCATTTCACCTGAGCATTGCGAATCACGCGTATGGCCATGATAAGTGGTGAATGAATGGCAGGCTTTCTGCTGTAACATCGTGCAAGGTAAATAAGGGTGACATCTAGTGGAGAAGACTAATAATAAGATTCACGTTAATCAGATCTTTTTTTAAATGTGTGCTGAAATAAATACCGGAAAAGATCGATTCGTGGCTTTTAAGAATCGATATCGAATCGACGTCATTTTAAAAAAACCGATTAATCGAAAAATCTAAAAAATTTTTTGCCCAGCCCTACTATACAGTATATGTTTTTTTGATAATCCATTACACTCAGATGTACGTGATTGTGTTTTGTTAGCTGATTTCTGATTTAGCCGAACCCAAAACCAGCCTAATTATTCATGGCTACCTTGAGACCATTAAGTCGGCTAGGCGATTTAAAAAAATGTCCACATCTCTACCGGTCTGGTCGGTCACATACAGTAGGTTCCTTTTTTATGCTGAGCCACTTTACTACCTTGTCTCTTTTTATAGTGTAATTCTCCCATAACCTGTTGGTGCCATTAGGTTAAATCGTGCTGCTGGCAGTGTGTGCGCTATAGATACCAGCAGTAATAGACCAATATAATGATACCATGCTCTGATATTCCCGCAAGGTCTTGTAATGTTACTCAAGTCAGCATATTCTCTTGCGCTGCTATGGGCTTTGCTATCTTTTTGTATGAATCATAAATAACGTTTGCGTGGTCGCCATACCTGTTGTCACTGATGCAGACAGTATTGTTATTACAGCATCTCAAGTCATTCTTCTCAGATAACATGGACAACTGTTTACTGGAAATTCAAGGTCTGTGTAAACTGTACGAGCAGGAATCTTCTGTTTTGATGTGCTGCTAGATCGGTATACTTGGAAAAGTAATTAAAAATTGTGTTAGCTGCTACAGCAATGCACCTTTGATTTGTTCTCTGACAGGAATGCTAAATCTTGGTGCCTTTGATGTTCTCTCAGTCCTTGAAGATAGTGACCTGTTGTGTCTTGACTGGTGGTCTGGAGGAAATGTGATAGCATTCAGGTTTGAATCTCTTTCGTAAAGATGGGAAAACAATATGGACAGATATGAAAGGCCTAGTTTTCCGGAAAAGCCTGCTTCTCTTCTGCGGGTGAGTGCTGAGTTAGTTTAGGGAAATGCAAGAGTTGGTTCAAACGGTTGCTTTTCTCATGTGTTGAGTAATGCCTTGACTATTTAAGAGCTGCACAGTAATGGTTAAATTGATCATTCCGGTTATTTAGAGTATACATTTTCAAGATAAATAACCAGTGTGGGTCAATATTGCCTAATCATAAGAAGCAGAAATTGTGATCATTGAAGTATGATTAATCATGCAGCCATTTTATTTACAGATGTTCTCTGAACAGTCAGTTTATTTGTTTTAGTTAGACTTCAGAGTAGCTGTTGACACATCTACTGTACGTCAGGCCCTGTCTGACTGAATTTCTCTATGTTGTGCTGTCACTTCTCTCTGAGCATTTATCGCAGGTCCTTCCTCTTCACCAGTTAAAGGAAAGACTTTGCCTCTTTGAAGCAAACCCCTGAGGAGATCTGAAGATGGAGCTGTGCAGATGTTATTAACCGTAGCTTACCCAAAGAACACTGCAAATGTTTGATGTGCGAGGGTCCTTTTTCTCTCCTCTCTGTAGTTTTTCACCATCTGTAATAATTTTTTAATACATTTTGCGATATTGTGAAACATCCGTGGGATGTTTGTCTTTTCTTTCTACCATCTTTTTCATTTTATTGGGATTTTTTGCAGTGGCAACAACAGGAAACGACATGAAAGGGTGGGTGGGAGAATATGTGCTACAGGGAAATTAGGAAATAACCGGATCCCGGATTCAAACTCTGGTGAGCCATCAGGCTACACTTCCCATCAAGCTGCATCTTTTTTCTAATTGTATTGTACTGCTGTTTTCCAACGGAGTGACAGATCTTTTATTCCCTATTGTGACATACATCTGAGTGAAACTGGATATCAAAAAAAAAATTGGTTGAGGAATTGAAAAATATCCATTTGATTTTGAGATGTGGATTTTGCACTCAAATGAATGTAAGCGTTTAAGAAAGGGGCGGAGTTAAAGCAGACTAAATGATTGGAGTAGACTGGCATACATCACCAAGAAGATGTTTTCATTGGAAGATTGAGTTATGACATTTTGTAAAAATAATGTTACCAATAAGATCTATAATAGTCATTTACAAAATATATAGTGAATTTTCATTTCATGCTGAAAATCATTTAAAACTAACCAGTGTCCCTCAGCACTATTGCTGGCACAAGTCCCACAGAATTCTGGCATATTGAAAGCTTGCATGTGCATCATGCACCAGCTTTTTCATCTGTGTACAAACCAGGTAATTTAGAGTACCTCAAATTTTAAGGACGTCCCATCACTTATAAGCAACTGCTGAGATAATTTGCATGAGTTTCTATGCTATTGTTTTCAACAGTGCTGAGATTTGAGCCTAAAAAGGGCTTTCAGTACGCCTCGTGATTGGCTGTCTTGTCCCTGCTTTGTCCGAGTAGTCAGGCGTACTGTCACGCAAGGGCCACTCCGTCCTTCTCCACTCCGCTTTCTCCACTATGGTGTGTCCTAGCTGCTAATCAGTCGGCCGTCTGCCTATAAAGGATGTTTTTGGGTGTCCGGGTGGTGCACGAGAGCATCATAAACAGAAGCCGCCGGCCTCAGG